TGCCGTCAGGTTTACCCTGTAAAAACGCTGGTATGAATAACGAATAAAGTCAGTCTCTATCATAGAGGGCTGTGAATTGAACCACGTATTTCGCATAACGTGATTAATTAATTAAGCGCTTGATTTGGACATAGAAAAGTAAACACAAATAAAATCCGCTAAAAAAATCACCAGAATGCAGGTGTAACCAGCCTGTCAAGTTTAAGCAGATACACAGACAAGCCTTAAAGGCCTTGTGCTGAAAATAATTAGAAAGTAGTTAGAAGTATATCAATTAATAGTCTGCGATTTTGACTAGCACCAAACTATGGCCAAACAATGCTTTAGTGAATGCTTTCACTTCCCAGGTATTCTGCCAGTACTTCCCATGTCTAAAGTTCTCCTCGGTTTTATTATGTTGGAATTCTAATTACCAAACACAAATCCCCGATATTTCGTTTGTGCTCTTAAAACAAAACCCCGCCTCACTGGTATTCGTTTAGCATTACCGAATACAAACCTGGTATTCTGTTCAATGGAGAGAAAATACGACCTCTGAACTCTGTTATGATAATGAGTTGACTCTAGCCTCGTTCTGAGATGGGGATTCCCCGGCAGATAGTTCTTCTGTGATGGTGTTGAGTATTGTGATTCTGTCGAATGAATTATACATTAGTTACGACAATACGTGTCCAAGTTCTTATTTATCCCGACTATCAGTACCCACGATGCCAATCCCGCCTTACCGGGCACAGACTACTGTTTTTTTCTGCAGTAAAGCATAATGTAACGTCTTGTCCCTGTTGTTGATATGTGGGAACAGGTAACGAATTTCAAGTAAAGGGTAGGGGTTCTTTGGAGTGAAAATATATCACTCCGTGGGACTGTTGCAGGGCAAGGAACTCTTTGAGAAATAAATCACTTCGACACAGTTTACACTGTTAGCCTCTATTATTCATAACACAATAATGACATGTTGCACATGGAAGTATCTTGATGCACACGCGTCACAATCTCATGGACTTGCAAAGACAACATCTCATTGAAGCTACCCTCTGAAACCCTTACACAGGAAGTCTCGCAATATCTTTACTGAGAACCTAAAGCTATGCACAATTCTCTAGGTATAAAGCCAAAGTCATCTCTATATTCTTTGTCCAAGCTGTGAAGTGCAAGGCCTTTAGTTCTTCAGGGGTCGGCTTGATCTTGAGGTCTTGTGAGTGAGTTACAGACTGAACTGTGTCAATTTATATCAGTTTTTATTGGTGTGGCTGAAGCCAAAATGAGGCTAAATAAATCAAAGTATTTGGGGATTCGATTGGGGCGTAGTTTGCCAGCAGAATCTCAGGGAGGTTGGGTTAGGCCGTGAGAGTTCTAACACACAAAACTAAGATAGAATTAAAGCTGCAAGCAGCGTCGCAGGGGCCCAAGTATATTCCATAAATAATGAGGTCAAATGATACACAATTGATTAGTTTGAATGATTAGTACCATGAAGTCGAAATGCAGTTGGTTCCATATATTTATTTGAGATATGACAGTTATGCATATTAATGAGCTCACATGACCATATATGATCATCTGTTATTTTAATCAATCTCTCGTACAATGTTGTCATAATAACACAGTTTTCATCTTCCTAACTGCAACAGTGTTTGAGATATAATGATTATGCATATTAATTAGCCCACATGACCATATATGGTCATCTGTTATTTTAATCAAATCTCTTGTTTAACATCATCATAATAACACAGGTTTCATCTTCCTACCTGCAACAGTGCTTGAGATATAACAGTTATGCATATTAATGAGTTCACATGACCATATATGGTCATTTGTTATTTTAATCAAATATCTCGTTCAACGTTGTCATAATAACACAGGATTCATCTTCCTAACAACAACAGTGCTTGAGTTATAACAGATATGCATATTAATGAGGTTAGAAGCCCCCACCCAATGGGTGCCCAGTCACGTGGCCTAGCAGTGTGCTATTGGGGCAAAATGATG